AATTAATTACAATTATATTTCTATATTTTAATTATAATTTATTAGAAAAACTATTAGTGATTTTTATTATAACTTGGTTTTATTGATACTTATGTAATTAGAAATTTTTTTCTTTTAAGGCTTCCATTTCGAGTTATGTGCTGATATTATTATCGTTTTCTACTCGAATATTTGGTGAACCAAGACAAGACCACATATTAAGAGCCTATAATAATAGACCGGGTGAAAGTCAAATCATTCAAATACAACCAGACAAGAGAGATTCTCCGTTTCCCCTAACTCAAGTCAATCCAAATCTTTATCAATATCAAATTTATAATCAAGATGCTACTCGCATCGATTTTCCCGACCAAGATGAGACCGATGTTTTTCGAAAAAATCTAAACGATGAACAGCAACAGAATATACCGATACAACAATATCAAGCACAAATTCCGAATTCTACTCCGCAGTCTCCAATAGTTTCTACACCTCCTCCGCAAACATCACAAATTATTCAACAGCAAAGTTTCCCTCAAGACCAAGCTATTTATGGTGTTTTGATACCGCATCAGCCTAATCAACAATCAGCGATACCAAATGCAGAAATAAAGCAAGCTGAAGTGAAACCTCCGAAAAAGCCAGAAAGTCCAATATCTACCCAAGAATCAATAGCCGTACCTCAGTCACCAACAGATATAGAAAGTGGAAACATACCAGGAGGTACAAGATTTATAAATGGATTGCCCTTACTTCCTCCCATTTATGGTATTAATAACGGAATATTTGGAAAACTTAGTTTGCCATTTCCTAATATTCCTGTTTATGGCATTTCTCAATATGGAAACACTCCTCAAAAAATATCAACTCTTGGAGGCGGACAAGTAAGTTCTATTGGAACAGGACAAACACCGCAATCAGGAGAAATATCGTCACAGACACCAAGTAATAATGGATACTTGCAACAGTTTGGCCAAACTCAACAACCACAGAAGATAGAACAACAACAGCAATTACCACAAAACCAGCAGCAACAGCAGCAATTACCACAAAACCAGCAGCAATTACAACAGAACCAGCAGCAACAGCAGCAATTACAACAACAGAACCAGCAGCCAGCAGCAACAGCAGCAAATACAACAACAGCAACAGCAGCAAATACAACAACAGCAACAATTTCAACAACAGTCATTTCCGTTTGAAAATGGGAATAGACAACAAATATCTTCCACACAAAATAAGATTCCTTTAAGACAACCTCAAAAGAATGCAAATGACGGATCATCAAATCTTAACATTCGGTTAAACGAAGGAAGAGAAAAACAGAGTTCAGTAGCAGATTTAGGAAGAGCACAGACTGTTTTCTTTGATGATGAAAGAGGAACAAAACAACTTAATCCATCTCAATATCAATATAACACACGAATCCCACTTGAATCACCTCAATCAAACAATCAACAAGTCCAACAACCAATTCAAAATTATGCAAATAATAATTACAATCAAGCATCAGTTCCTCCTAGAAATACTGGAGCTCCTGTTGGTGTAATTATACCTATAAAACCTATAGATTCATCATCCCAGCAGCAGGGATCTAAACAGTTGACCAAATTATCTACTAATGATCAATCTAATTCTCCCACAATTTATCAAAATCCTAGAGCCGCAGTTGAGTCTTTTAATGAACCACAACAACAGTCAGGTATACAAAAACACAGAATACGAAATGAACAAGAAGTCTACCCACTTATTCCACAACATTCACCTGAATATCTTGGTTTATCAGAAACAGCTGATGATGAAATCTCTAGAAGACCAAGAATTGAAGTAAATAATTCACCGCCACCACCTCCAACCACAACTACAACAACCACAACCACAACAATAGCTCCCTTACCAGAAGAAAATTCATCACCCGAACAATACAATAATCACCAATCCAATTATGAACCTTATGATGAAAATGAAGACGAAGAAGTTCCACCAAATCTTTTTTCTAAAGAAGATAGTTTTGGTAGCCGACTTTCTAAGTCGCAACAAATTCCCGCAGTTCAGCAAACAACTTTAATAGAAACCAAACCATCTGCTCTTCAATCACATTCATTGAGCATTCAAGAAAGTAGTCCAATAGGACCACTTGCCATTGCTTCAAGTACTGCAAGTCCTAACCGCATCGGAACTAATAATTTCCAACCTCCTGTTTCAGGAATTAACGTAGCTGCTTCGGGCACGCAACAGTTCGCTCAACCAGGAATTAACTTAGCCCATTCCGCGATAAATCTTCCCAATCAAAATTCTGGAACACAACTGTCTCGATCATCAAATTTGCCACAACCAGGAATTAATTTAGGTCATCCTCAGCATAATTATAATATTCAAACTCCTAATGTAGGATATGAAAATATAAATAAGAAACCACTTCAAAGAATACCTGACTATATCAATCAAGGTGCGAATTTAAATCCAAATGTCGATACTAATAACCGATATGAAGGACTTACTCCACATACAGGACAACAAACTGAATATTCTACAAATCAGGAACAAAAATCACCGGAAACTACAACTCCAAAGCGTCAAAGAAATCGCAGAAGAAAGAATCGTCAAAGATCCAATAGAAATAAAGCAAATGTCGAAAAAGCAACCTCGAACACTCAGCAAGAAGAAATTAAACCAACAAGTTCAGATTATAGTGGAATACAACAGCAGCAGCATCCACAACAACAGCAACATCCACAACAACAGCAGCAGCAGCAACATCCACAACAACAGCGGCAGCAGCAGCAGCAACAACAACAGTTTAGTGGATTACAGCAAACACAATATGGATCCGTTTCGCCACAGCAAAATTCGTATTTTAACCAAAATCAACGAATTTTTAATCAGCAGTCTCCTGTTTCTAATAATGCAAATGCTCCCTCTGAAAATAACTATCCAATTCAGTCTTTTCAACAACAAGCAAATCCACAGCTAAACACACCTCCTCAACAATCTCAGTTGCCATATCCTCAAGGAATTAATAACGGAAATCAATATTTTTCAAATAATGCACGCCAACAACCAAATCAAAACTATTCTCCAGTAGTTCCAAATTTAGTAACTTATCCAGAAATCACAACTAAGCCGTCTCTTCCTTACAGAAACGATCCTGCATCTGGAGTAGTTAAACCAGCGGAAACTTTTAATGCTGCTCCGCAAACAGTACCAGGCTACCCGCAAAAAGCATTACAACAAAATCCTCCATTAAATTATAATCCAACAAATTTACAGCGTCCTTCAAATTTCAGAAACGATAACTCTCCTCAACCTCTTAACTATCCTGCAACATACAACATTCCTACCAATGATCAATCCTTCAGGCCGAATAATCAACCTATTTTGAATAATGGTCCTCAGCAATATAATCAAGAACCTATTTCACAACAATATAGATCGAATGTGCCGCAACAAACGACTAATTATAGACAAGGCAACGCTGCTAAAACAGCTACAAACTATGAAAAGGATAATACTGAAGTAAGTAAAGATCCTTCCAAACAGCCACTCGAAATTTCCAGTTCAGTAGATGTAACTACAATAGCTCCAGCTGACCATGAGACTACAACAGTTCGCTCGACTAGAACGAGATTTGGTCAAAGGAGGAGAGGACGTGGCCGAAGTAGGTCAAGATCGCAGAAAAGCAGATCAAGAAACGCAGTTCAAGAACAGAAATCAGAAAAACAGGCTGAAGAAGAGAAAGTAGAAAGTCAGACACAACCGCCTCCTAAACAGCAGAGCTTTGCATCTCAAAGTCCCCAAAACACTCCCGTAAAACAAAATTATCCTCAACAAAATAATCAACAATATAATTCTCGGCCAAATCCACAAATTCAGCAACTACAGAATCCTCAAACTCAAACTTATTCTCCACAGAATAACCAACAAATACCCCAAATACCAAATTATCAGCAAAATAATCAACAAATTCCACAAATACCAAATTATCAACAACAGAATACAGAATATCCCCCACAATACACACAAAACACAAGATTACCCCAATACAATACGGCTCAACCTTCAATTCCCCAGCAGCCTCAAATAGGATCCAATTATCCTCAACAACCTCAAGTAGGCTCTAATTATCCTCAACAACCTCAAATAGGCTCTAATTATCCTCAACAACCTCAAATCGGATCCAACTATCCTCAGCAACCTCAAATAGGCTCTAACTATCCTCAGCAACCTCCGATAGGATCTAATTATCCTCAACAACCTCAAGTAGGTTCTAATCTACCTGGAACTGCGCCAACACAAAATTTCCAGGGAGGTTTCATCCAACAGCAACCGATTCAACAAACTGGTTATCCAAACACACAGCAACCATTAGCTCCTAATGGAAATGCCAATCAATATCCCTATTATCAAACAGACAACTCTGCTCCCGCCTTCCAGAAACGTGCAGATAACGAAGAAGTCGATGAATACGATGACGAAGTAGAGGATGGAGATCACGAAGATTGATATTTTACAATATCCAGCATTATTATCATCATGTACAATATTATGTGACGTGTTTGTCTGTTCCTGTAAACGTCATTGATCTCGTTCGATGTGATGTATACGTCCAAAGATTTTTGTCGAGTTGTATATTAATCGATGTTATACATATTTTATTGTTTATCATTTAATCTTTTAATATCGAATTGTCGAGTGTCAAAGCCAAGAAAATGTATTTTAACCAAAAAGAGAATTTAACTGTAATTAATATTTTTTACTGAAATAAAACATAACAGCTTTGATACAAAATTGAATTTTTAATCAACGAAAACGGATTCTAGTGAAGCGTAAATTGCAATTTTTATCAGGACAATAAATATTTATAGCCAATTAGTGTTGTTACGCGAGTAGCACCAAAACTTGCACACACAAAAAAAGGGCTATTAATACGTCTTTGGGTCAATAACCTTTTATATTAGAAATTATTCACAATTTTACACCCTGAACTAGTTCAATATGAACTAGAGATAATTATTTTCAGTAACGTGTATTTATTATAAAATTTAAAAAAGTATATATATTAATTACGCAGAAATGTTGAAAAGCAGGAAGTTAATATGCTTATAGTATTTGTTAACACTTAGCCATTGACCTAGATTTAAATGCGTTTAAGTTATTTGTGAAATTAAAAAAAATTTATTTTTTTTAAAAACTTATATAACGTAATTCGAAAATTGTATAATTTAGCATTTTCTATTCTCATTTGGAATATTATATAGATGTCTTTTTTGTTTATGTTTGTTTGGATGACTTTAAATATAACGAACCCTAAAAATCTGAGATGAGGATGGGGTCCCGATTAAGACGGCTTCAAAATTATTGCTCGGGCAGCTTCCTACATTTTAGTTATAATACTTAATAATATAATAAATAATGGCATCATTTTATCTGAGATGAGGATGGGGTCCCGATTAAGACGGCTTCAAAATTATTGCTCGGGCAGCTTCCTACTTTTTAGTTATAATACTTAATAATATAATAAATAATGGCATCATTTTATTATAAATATTTGTAATCTATTAAAGAAGACGAGGCGATTAAGGCGTCAACCAACCGTTCTGGAGACTTTGTATCGAATCCCGAACGAACAACCACAAGAATTTTTATGAACGTTTTATGAACGAACCTCTTCCCTCACCACTCAACTTCTCCATTGAGCGCCTGACCGAACCCACTATGGGTATGATTTAAAAAAAAGGCCATCTTAATATTGAATTGCATTGATATAAGAAGGCGATGCAACACGTGGGGATCTGCCAAGTGGCAGTACGCGAGAGGACTATTTATACAAAGCTAACCCCTGTTTAGGTGTTAGACACAAAGAAAACCAGGAAAACTCCACGTGGTTAATTTGTCGGTTGGACACGAACCCATGGTGACCACTGATCATTAGTTTAGTTAAGACAGAAAGAGCTAAACGGAATGAAGATTAGAATTGGCCATGTTTAAAATATTACTTACTTGCTTTTTCCAAATAATCGTTACAGAGAAATACAACATAGTCTTATATGATCTTAGCTCCCTCGTTTTTCTAAATTTCATACGTCACAGAAAACCAAAATTAAATAAATTATAGTTCGAACCAATATAACTAGAAATTACGTTTTTAAATTCATTCCTCCTGAGGTTTATTTCTTTATGTTTTAATTATGCTAAACCAGTGTTTCTGAACCTCTAACGAATCGTCGCCCCCTTCAATAAACCCTTACTTAGTATCGCCCCCTTCAATGAAACCGTTACGTAGTATCGCCCCCTTCACTTCAAAATTCCGATGCCAAGGGCCAAGGCTAACGCCAAATTTGTACTGCATTGAATAGACTAGTGACTAGTATAATGTTATTTGTTTAATTATCATACGATATAACGAATAAAATATCTAATTATTCTTAATATAATGTTTTACTATATCGCCCAGAAAATTGTTTTTCGCCCCCAAAATATAAATTGTTACTAATCGCCCCCTCAACATGCAAAAACGCCCACATGGGGGCGATATTGCCCCCGTTGAGAAACACTGTGCTAAACTATGTTATCTAATATATTTCTGATATTATTTTTAATATATTCAAACAATTGAAAAGGCGAAATTAATTGTTCGACAATCAAAACGGGAGGAAGAGACCTTCATTCTTTCAGATTTTTTACCTTAGCTGCCTTATCATTCAGTTGGGATAATCGAGAACAGTTCTATCTTCTATTTCAGAAATACCGGGCGATCATAATTAAAGTACCCATATTCAACCCTATCTGAAAGAATATTTAACAGGCAAAATGCAACCAAATTTGGTATAGTAATATTTTAGGACGTGGAGAAGATATTTTCGTAAAATAAGTTCCAAGGTTTATCACTATGGCACTTTCGGCGCTGCCAGCAACAAAACATTTTATTCGTACAAGACACTCGTGCTATATCGCTAAAATTACAGTCATCAGGCATTTTTAGTGCTTATTATTTATATTTTTAAAAAAAGCCAAATTTCTTCTTATAACTTTTACAACTTTAAACTATAGTTTGGAGTGTTAAACTATATTTATGATAATGTTATTATAGTTAATGTAAAGAATTATTTTCTTTGCTAATTAAACAAACGTGTTCTTCGAGAAAGTAATGCTTAAACTCATGGTTATTTATATTTTTAAAAAATTCCAAATTTCTTCTTATAACTTTTACAACTTTAAACTATAGTTTGGAGTGTTAAACTATATTTATGATAATGTTATTATATACAAAAGCTGTTTAACTACCAAAATTATATTTTACATTAGACTATAGAAATTTTATTTTAGAAATTATATAGCCAGAAATATCTGCATTACATCTTTTAACCGTAACAAAATATGTAATTTTAAATATAAAAATATATTCGGTTTGCAACCTTTCCAGTCATAAAGATAAAAATTATGGTTATAGTCGGTTATCGCAATCACAAATGATTTACCCTGTTAANATTAACTGTCTTCTCAATCAATAAATACATATTTGGCAGAGTGGCAAAGTTTTATTGTTTTGAACTAAATATTACAAATATATTCACATTTGAAAAAATGTACAGTTTGGATGATCGGTGTACTACGTTCAGACATACCGACATTATTTTTGGCAATAAAGAGGGTTAACCGAACACGTTTAACCTTGTTGTTGGAAAAACGCAAAAGGAAAGTGATTATTAATACGAGCGGGTATCTGAACAAAAGAAGAGCCAGATGCACTGTGATCGTATGCGTGAGCTTTATTTGTTTGTTCTGCGTGTCCTTTATCGGCGACTTTACTGTGTTCGCTGGTGTGATCTTTAAAGAAATCGGCCAATTTAAAGAAATGCTTTCCAGTAAATCCCGATTTTCCCGAATCCAGAAATTTGAGATTGGAAAAGAATCCTCCTTGAGCTCCTGATGTGTCGTATTCTTTGGCTTTATCGTGAAAGTCGCTTTTGGTGTGATAGGAAAACTTTCTTTCGTATCCGGTTCCCTCGTCAATTTTGCTCCCTCCTTTATCGTGAAATTTTCCTTTATCTCGACCGTGGCCGGAGAATTTCGCATCGGATTTGATCTCGGTCTTTCCGTGTTGATGGTATTTATCTGCGGCTACATCGTCCAACTTTGCAACGGTCCCACTTTTACCGTGATCGTGAGATTTTGCACTAAGTTTATCGTGATCGTGATGCTTATATGCGCCTAAATTATGAGCTTTAGCCTGCTGATGAATTTGTTGGTGTTGTGCATAAACTCCGACCAGTGAAGATAATAGTAATATGATTATAATCTATAATAAAATAATAGTAGTCTTATATAAAAGCTCATTAAAAGTAAACTTTCGGAAAATAAAAACGTGCCTACTTACGTTCTTCATTTTACTGTTCAAATTCCAAACTGGATCGTCTTTCATTCGCGAGTTGTTTAAATAGCATTTCTTACTTCGGGTCCATAAAAAAAAGCAATTAAAAAACAAAAGTTTTTCTGTTGCTAAAAGTGATAATATAGAAACATTTGTAATGAAGGATAAGAAATTGAATACTTTTGGAAAAACATTGAAATAAGAAAAGGAAAACTGAGACAGGTACAATGAGAACTTCCCGTTTCTCATAAACCAACCAAAACTGAAGCAGAACTAATGGATCCAGCTTTGTTGTGGTACAGAGCAGGGTGCTTCGAACCATAGTGCCACTAATATCACCTATTGTCAAAACAAAATTCAGAAAAATGCTAAAATGTTTTTGTAATGAAATTATTACTCTATAAATGAAGAACGTATAATGAAAATTTTATGACTGAGGATTAAAGGGATGTCGTAATTGTTTTCCATTGCCATTTCACTTAGCATAAACCATAAATATATATTATTTTTAAGTGAAAGTAGAGGAAAAAAATAAAGGAAATTTTAATGTTTAAAGCATTTGAAAAAAAGAAACAAGAAACTATCCGATTGAGAAAACAATACGTAAATAATAAGATAACGGAATATAATAGTGTATTTTAATAGAAAATATTTTAAAATTATTTTACATACACGTGGAGATCAATAGCTAATAACTAATACTTAACTATACTGTAGAAGAATATAATTAAAACACTAATTAATTTACTTTAACATTTAAAAAAATATTTTTGCCCCGCTTCTATTTTAGACGAAATTTTGTTATTCGTTAAAACAAAGAAAGAGGAACAATGTATGTTTTTACTAATTTAAGTTTATTGTAGTTACTAAAAATACTTTTTAGGCAATTCTACTAAACTTTTCTAAGAGTCACGCCTAATTTATTTTTCTTCAGATTTACCCGTAATGCCAAGTTTTGGCCTTAATTTTAATGTTATTTACATCGTTAATGAGCTACTTTAGTTGATAATCATTAACAGTCGTACATCTCAGATAGTTTGTAAACAATCGGCTTAATCAAATCAACTTGTTTTAGTAAGAAAATTAAAGAATAACAAATAATTTATATCATTTAATACATTTTAATTTATTGGTATTTCCGGCGGGAATGAATTACGTTCGAAAAAAAAATATGAAGACTGTATATTAGTTTTACTGCATAACAATTGAGGAAATCGTTAACATAAGCAATATACAGTTTTTCTAAATATTTTATTGTATTTTTAAGAAAATTCATAAACAGTAAGTTGTAAAATTTTAACGATTTCCTTCCACATTCTGTTATATAAATGTTTATAACGCCTCGTGTTTAAAAAGCTCGTTACTTGTATTTTTGAATATCATAAAATTTTATCTTTGTAAATATTATTATTATTATTATTCATATGCAATTATGACATTTACTAGTATTTAATTTTGTTGAGCTAAAAATATTTCATTAATAATATTTTTTAAGGGTGTTGCCTCTATGAGAAAGTGAGAACAAACAAATAGATATCGGTCAGATTATAACTATCACTTTTATATATAGAAGGTGATAAAAATCGTTTTGTGCTGTCCGTGAACTGTAACGGAACAATCGGACTGTAAAATAGTTTCCTTCTCTTCCTTTATTGTTTACAGTAAATTTTCTTTACATTGTTCTATTAAATATCTAATAATACAAAATGATATTCTATTCTATTATACACATTTATATCATTTTTCGCGTCTAATTAAATAACACGTAAATATTTTATTTTGTTTTTACTAAAAATTAAAATTTCTAAATAATATATTACAGTATTTTAAAATTTTTTTTATAAATTAATTTATAATANTCATTGCTACGACGTTTCTGAAAATAAAAAAAAGTTTTATAAAAAAATTAATTGCATTTAAATGAATTTTTTATTATTTTATTTGAAAATTAAATTAAATTTTTAAGTTTTAGATTTTTTAATATATTTTTTTAATTTATAAAGAAAAGAAATTGCTTGTGGACTTACATATTTAATAGTTTTCTTATTAACCATAAAAGCCTACAGGTATATATTTCAGCCCTCCACCAACTGCACCGGCTCCACCTCCATATTTCAATCCTCCTGCTCCAACAGCTCCGTGGCCATGTCCGGCGTGTAAATTGCCATAACTTCCTAAACCGTGTTTGCCGTATTGTCCAAGAGATCCGAAGTGGCCGTGTCCGTGCTGATCGTATTTTCCCACGCCTAAGTTACCAAATTTTCCGTGAGCGCCGTGTTGTAATCCAAAACTTCCTGCGGTACCTCCAGCATCTTGAAGTCCTACTTGTTTATCGTATCCGTAAGCTTTTTCGTAACCGTAACCTTTATCCCGGACGAAACCACCTTTGTTTCCAAATTGTCCAAATTTACCGTACTGTCCTCCGTACAAACCTTTATCACCGAAGGAACCTCCTCCTGTCAAACCAGCATTTCCATAACCTTTGCTTCCGTACAGTCCGTGTCCACCGTAACCTCCGTAACCGACATTTCCATAATTTTTGTTCAGATGGCCGTGGCCTCCCTGAGCTCCGTAACCTCCGTGACCTCCGTATCCGCCGTAACCACCGTGACCATGACCGTAGCCACCTAAACCACCACCGTAGCCACCTAATCCACCAAATCCTCCCAAGCCACCATAACCGATACCTTTTAGGCCTCCTAATCCACCATAGCCGATACCTTTAAGGCCTCCTAATCCACCATATCCGATACCTTTCGCTCCTCCTAATCCACCATATTCGAAACCTTTTACTCCTCCTAATCCACCATATCCGAAACCTTTTGCTCCTCCTAATCCACCATATCCGAAACCTTTTGCTCCTCCTAATCCACCATATCCGAAACCTTTTGCTCCTCCTAATCCACCATACTCGATACCTTTAATTCCACCATAACCTCCTAAACCGCCGTATCCTCCTAAACCACCGTAAGCACTTAATCCACCATAACCGATATGTGGTAAACCGTAATGATAGCTTAACGTTTCAGATTCTTTAAGATTTGTCTCTCCTTTTTCTTCTTTAGCTGAAATCAACACGATCCAAAAACAAAAGAATAGAACAATCTAGAAATGTTAAATTAAAGAAGATAAAAATATGTACAAGTTTAGCCATAATAAAAGAAATAGGAAACTATTTCAAATACTCACTTGCGATTTCATGTTCCACAGATGATATGTGGCCAAAGCCATAATGAAATGTAACAACCTACGAGTCTTTTATATGGTTCAAGTAAAAGGGAGGGTGGATGAAGGGAAGCAATAGGGAAGCGTTGGTGGGAGTCTGTAACGACTATATACTTCCACTATACGTATAATAACACCATTTCACCACCCGTTATCTCGATAACCCAGTGGGTTGTCCATTTGATTTCTGAATTTTGCTGGCTTTGACCTGATTGTCTTTTCACCTTAAAATTTCCAAGATTTTTTATTTTTTATTTTAACTTATTAGCTCTTTAAAACATGTAAACAATTTCAAATACTAAATTTATAAATAATTCTTTTCAATATTTCATAAAACTTGGAGGATTTAACGAGCTTCCTGATACAGTACATTTTGCAAAATAGAATCTAAAAATGGCTGCTTGGTCTCGTCTATTTATTAATAGAATGGCTAAAATTATCCTATTTTTAGTTTAATAAATTATAATTAATTTCTTTTCATTAATGTTGAGTTATCTGAGCTCTATTTTATATATTTTAAGGTTCGTGTAAGGGGATTATAGTGTTAATTAATGAAGTGCGCTAAAGTAGAAAGATTATCACGATTTTATAATCTATATTTTTGTTTTTTCTCACGTTGTCACACAGAAGAATATGGTTATTATTGACACGATTATTTCTATTGTTACTTCAAATAGATAAATCTCTTAACTGTGAACTATAACTTAACTTTTAAAACAAAAACTGTTTAAAATCTTAAACAAAACTTTACTTAAATCCATTGTTTAAGGTTAAGATAAGCATAGGCGTGGTATTCTTTTAACTCTTAAATGGTTTTCAATTATACTCTTATATTCATTTCAACATCTTTAAAAAACTTTAAAGTTTTTCAACTAAATTTAACCTATTTTCTTACTTTTTTTTTTAAATTTTGGTGTCTGTATTTAACAATTGTATTGTATTTGTTAAATAAATTTAATGTTTAAAATTCCTTTTAAAATTTCAAAAATAATTTTAAAAATTTTGAGCAATTTTATACAAAAAAATTTAAAAATTGTTTTAAAAAAAAGTTGTTATTAATTCCGGTTTAGGGTCAATTATGCAGTCGTATCGTCTATGCTGCCATCTGTGAAAAGGAAATATAATTATAATTATATTATTTTTAACATTATTTTTTATTACGTGAAATAATTATTTTTTAAATTTAAATATTATACAAATACATTTTACAATAGAATTTTTATTTTTATTTTTATTTATTTCCAAATTTTCTCACGAGAATTTCTTTGTTGTAAGATATGAACTTATAATGAATTAGATGAAATGAAGTCTACTTGATGGAAATTGAGGAAGAAAATGATTTTATGAAGTAATAATCATTAAAGTAATTTTAAGTAACAAACGAGGGTAATTACACCCGAAATTGTTCATTTAGGGAAAGAATTGTTTAATGAAGCTACTTTAAAATCCTTCATTTCTATTAACAGTAAACGAAACTTTTTATCTCTTTCTTCATCTTCATTTTCTTTTTCCTTACTTGTATGTAATTCATTGTAAAGGTGGGCGAATAATTGCACACTTTCAATCCTGAATAAAAAGGCTAAGAAAATGACCAAAAAAATCTCATTAAAATATTCTCGATTTTTCCGAAAATTACGAAATAAATAAGATACTTTTTTTGAAAAAAATATACGAAATTTCCATTACAAATCTTATCCAAATAACCATTTTGGTGCCGACGATTAGAGAAGAGGTCAAGTTGAGGTTCTCAGTCCTCTTTCTCTTAATCTATTCGAGTAAACTTCAACCCTTAGGCGAAGGTAGTAACAGATAACAAGAGTGATGAAGGCGTTACCCCGGTGTAACATATGAGTAGTCTTTAAAAAAGCTTGAGCAGCGGGTGCACAAGTTCGAGCTTTGATTCTCTGCCATGAAGGGTTGGTTCTTTGTGGTAAGTTAGGTGAGAATATAAAACTATATACTTTACAATTCTTAATTTTTTCGCTTGTATTTTTAATGTTTGATCATAAAAACACCCATTAAACTAGGGCATAGACTCTTTTTTTTTTTCCTCCTCTATCTTTCTGATAATTCGAATTAATATACTTTCACTGTATAGATCGCATAATCAGATTTTTTTTTCTTCTTCTCATTTTTATATTCTCAGGTGAAAATTCTAATATGTTTAGTGTCCTTGGTCATTTGTCAACGCGTTAAAATATGGGAGAACAGAGAGATTTACGATCCTCTTAACTGGTATGGAAAGAAACCTTGGAAATACTATAGCTATGGTTACGGTATCGGATGGGGACTTAAAAAACCAGGATATATGTACGAGCAAGGATTTGGTTATATTAGAGCGCTAGGAAGAGATTTTTGTCGACGACCTCCACCAGATTGTTCTCCTAAGGATCCTCGACCATTCATCTATAGAGGAAGAAAAGAGCCTTATTTTGGATATATGTCTACACCTACTTTGTTTCCACTGTTTAATTAACCACTGTATTTCTTTATGTAAACATTATTTTTTGTAAAATAAACTATTTATATCTGTTTTGGATTTCCTTTTTTCAATTTTTTTTAAACACTTACGTTTTATGTCAATAGAATCAAATGTTCGAATAATTTTAAAGTATTTAAAAACTTTTTGCATATAAACTAAAATGTAATACTGAATTATTACACAAGAATTTTTATAAAACGATTAACCTTATTATTTTTTATATATATATAAAATTCTTTGCAATTAAAATGTCAGAAATCTTTAACAATAATTACTTCTGAGTTCTGTGAACTGTTAGCTCTTTATATTATTCCTGAAATTTTAGCGTAATTTACGAGTGATTTTGGTTTACTTTCATAGATCAAAGACAATTTATTCTCGATAAGTTGCCCTCCTTTATTAGCAACAATCATCAGTTTCTTTTATGACCCACTTTAGGTGTTTGGCAAACTAAAATCTTGGTCATTCTATACAATTGTTAGAAAGTTTATTTGTAACTAAATCGCAGCTGATTCTTTCGAACTTACATAAGATGAATATTATTATAATTTTTAATTTAAAAAAGAATTTATTTTAATTAAAATTCAAAAAGAAAAATTTAAGTAAAATTACAAAAGATCTTAATATAAAAAATTCTTTAATTGTGAAAACAATTGATTTTTACGGTTCAAATTAATAAAACTTTTAATACATTCAAACCTCTGAACAATGGCCACTAACAAGAAACATAAAAAAAATGGCCGCCGTTTACAGACGGCCATTAATAGAAGTTTGCAAAAGACATTTTTAATAGTGAAAGCTTTCAGAAAACGATAGGATTTTGCAATGAAGAAACATTACTTTCTTATAAACGATATTATAAAAGCATAATTGATATACATAATTGCAATTAAGTGGATTACAAATAAACAATTACAAAATTTTCAAGAGAAAAAACTTGAACTTGTACTTAAGGCAGAAGGTCATATTGCAACTGTGAGAAAAAGTCAGTTGGGTCGATAACACCCACTAATATTAAAATCACACTGTACGAACTTCACGTATACTTTAGAATTGAAATTAAAATGGATCCCATTATCACCAATCAGGTAAAAGTAGGTTATTTAAGATATATTTTCTTAAATCTCCGGAAGTGGGCACGAAAATGAGATCGTAATTATATGACGTCATATCCTCTAGTGACCCATTTACCGATTATTTACAGAAATTCCTCCCTCAGAAGTAATTGCAACATTCAAGTTACTCAACGATTAACTGAGACTATATAATAGTATAACTCACTGAGTTCCGGATCATTTCTACATTGTTAAACATTCTAGAATGAAACTCGTAAGTATTAAAAAAAAGTTTTCTACAGATGTTAATATTTAATAATTTACACCAAAAAATACTATTTTACAGTTGATTTTAGCGGCGATTTTGATAGTAGCAGCGGCTCGACCAGCCGATGACTATATGGAAGACGTGGTCTATGCAGAGAGTCGTCCTATCTATTCTGCCGATGGTTCTCAAGGTTTCGGCCATAAAATGGAAATAGATACTAGTGGACCTCATGGAAATGGAAATTTAAAAGTGGAAGAAACTCACGTAGTGATGAATCGTAGATTACATCCCGACGAAGCTCATTCACATATGGAAAAACTGATCGGATCCATGGGCAACATGAGAAGCGGTTTCCACGATTTCGTTAGAGGACTCGGTTTCTAAAATTCATTTTTCTCAATTTATTTATTGATATTTAATTAAATTATTTATTTATTTATTTAATATCAAACACAATTAAGTATTATAAATTAATATTCTTCCGTATTTTTTTTTGTATGTGTGTTTTCTTGTATCCTAAAAATATTGTTCCGGGTCAAAAATGTATTGAGTTCTAATAAAAACTGTTTGCATTTATGTTTAGTTTTTTTTGTATTAAGAAATTAGTTTAAATCTCGATTCACGATTACTTTAAATGGTTTTTAAAAATTTAAATAAAAGCAATTATAAAATCTAGGATTTAGAAAATATGTCGACGTTAATAAAAACTTGAAATCGTGCATTCCTTCAGCCATTTCCTCTTATATAATTTGTTTTTATTTATCAGTGATTTTATGTCGGTCGTCTGAGCAAAGGACCGTCTCATAAAATTTAAAAAATAATAAACTGACTTAAATAACATAGATAATAAAACTGTAGTGTCATTATCTGCCTGTTCTCTTCTATTAGTGAAAGAAAGTTTAAACATTATTTATTCATCATATCTATGTAGCCTACATATATTATGCATAAACTTTCTATAAAGCTTTTTACAATGCTCTTATGTAAAATATATAATATAGTAAATGTAATCTTTTTCCCTTCGATTCAAAAGATATTTGTAAATGTTTCCCTTTAGAGGAGAAGATAATTAAAAATCTATTCACTCTTATACCAAGAAAAGTTTTGTTTCTTGCAGTGTTATAGTTTATACATTTATAACGAGACTACATATTGAAATTTTTATTCAATGTAATTAATTTTTGAATGGTTTTATTAAAATATTAATTAACTAGTCGTTATTAGCGGTTTTATTTTATTAGGTATAAATTATTTAGTGTAAAGAGATCAAATCTATATATTAATATAGGATATTACTGTAGCTGTCTGTGCCCTGAGTTGCTCAAGAGGGAGTGGGCTTTAAAGTGATTTTGTTTCTAATTTTTAATAGAAAAACAAAACAAAAAAAAACTGAACATTAATTAATAGATTATATTCATGATATAACCTATTAATTAAACCAAATTTATGAAAAATCACACGCTAAATTGCTGCAACATAAACAAAGTTTTAGGACAAAATACTTGCTTAATTATTTCCTATTTATTATTTTTAAAAAAAGTATTTAAAGCAGTTCCTAATTTTAAAATTATTATTAAAAAAGTAACCAGAAAAAACATTTAAAAAATTAAAATAATAAATAGGNTGCTCTCGATCGATACAGGGACGTCGACGCTTACGCTCGTAACAAGGGAGTCGGTTACGAACGAGCTTACGCTTATGATAAAAAAGCCGGATATATTGAAATTTTTATTCAATGTAATTAATTTTTGAATGGTTTTATTAAAATATTAATTAACTAGTCGTTATTAGCGGTTTTATTTTATTAGGTATAAATTATTTAGTGTAAAGAGATCAAATCTATATATTAATATAGGATATTACTGTAGCTGTCTGTGCCCTGAGTTGCTCAAGAGGGAGTGGGCTTTAAAGTGATTTTGTTTCTAATTTTTAATAGAAAAACAAAACAAAAAAAAACTGAACATTAATTAATAGATTATATTCATGATATAACCTATTAATTAAACCAAATTTATGAAAAATCACACGCTAAATTGCTGCAACATAAACAAAGTTTTAGGACAAAATACTTGCTTAATTATTTCCTATTTATTATTTTTAAAAAAAGTATTTAAAGCAGTTCCTAATTTTAAAATTATTATTAAAAAAGTAACCAGAAAAAACATTTAAAAAATTAAAATAATAAATAGGAAATAATTAGGCATGTTATTGTTTTACGAGTTTATATTTTGCGTTATAAGAATAAATCCTATAGTTTTAAAACCTAATGAACTTAAAGACCACTGTGAAGATTAGGCTACTTTATATATATATAAAATTCACTTCGTTATATTTCTAGATGTCAAATTATATAAATTAGCTCTTAGTTTCCTTAGAAAGAGTCACGCGCAAATCCCCTTCGGTGCAATACTAATCTGTGCCACGTAACAATGGACGTAATATCAATTGAAGAGGGTGTAACATTGATCTTTGACCCTTAACACGTTTAAACGTGCAGCACCTACACCTAATCTACGTTATGGTTCGAAAGAAGGCCGTGTCAATCATAAAAGAAGACAAAACTATCTTTGGATTAATGAAAATTTTACCTGGCACCAATTTTTCATCGTACGAGAACCCAATGGAGTCGTTACTACAATAATATCATTTTCTCTGACAAATCATTTATTATCTTTGCAAGATTAAATAATTACCTATTTGTTATAAATTATTCTTTTCTGTAGATTTATATCTATAATTTTGTGGGTGGATATTATCCTGTACAATTTTTCAACACCAAAATTTTTAATAATCTTACGTAATACGTTATTCTAGTATATAAATTTGAAGAAAACGAAAGTTTTTGAATATATAATTTCAATTTTATTATATAATTTCACTCTCACAGTGCCATATTTTTTAATATTTATGTAACAGTAGGGTGTAGCGCGTGCAATAAATTTTCTTACACGTTTTTTCTTACACAATTTTCTTACACTCTACATTATACAAATTGTATAATGTAGAGATTCTTATTCGTATACTGTACACAATAAATAATGTAAAATAAGAAAATTATATTTATTTAATGTAATATTTTATATAATCTCTTCAGTCTCGTAACTTATTCTTCACTTGTAAGAATTCAACACCGTATAAATTACTGTTATAAGTGACAAGATGCAGCGTGTAGCACTTAAGAAAATTGTATATAAAATTGAAGAAAATCCCAATTGTAAAATAATAAAAACTTTTATAACTTATATAACGAATAGAGAAAGATTAGAGCGGGATAAGAGGGAGAAAGAGCTGGATAAACGAGATTTTGCAGTGCCTATAGCCATAATGCACCAACAAAAGAATTTCAAATCCATTTTATGTAAATGTTAACCCTCCCATAAAGATTATTTACCACACCTTTGGCTTGTCCCGCTTTCTTCCTGTCGACATTCAGGGTGGAGTGCTACAACTATCCTATATGGAACACAGAAAACGTATCGATTCGCCTTTGTTCAACAAACATTTAATTTGTTATTGTTCTTTTATTTCAAATTTACTTAAAAATACAAATAAAAATCGAAAAATATATCCAGAAAATTAACATCACGTCCATCAAAAAATAACGTTCCTTTTATTTCGTATTTTATACTTTTATTTTAAAAATTTGCATAATAATTGCTTATATTTAAATATATTTTTTATACTTAAAATTAATATTAAAAAGTATCGTTTAGAAAAAAAAAAATTAAATAAAAAATAAAATTTTTAATACATTGTGCCTCCATCTTGTGGCGATTAATTAAACTATTAACACTTTTATTTTTTTTAATTATGTTTTTATGTTTAATAAATAGAAAAATAAATTAAAAATTAATTATTTTTTACGAATAAACTTAATTAGAAATTATTTAACGAAGAGAATAATCAAACTTTTTCTTTTTTAGAATTAAACATTGCGATAATCATCTCGGTGCATAGCATCACTTACCTCGAATGTCATATCTAACACTATTTCATAAATTACCACACCCAGAGCTAGTAAGGAATTTAGTACGCCCCGAACCCTATAGTTTTTTACTCCTCCCTTTCATTGTCACGACCCCTGACAGTTGAAGGGTCAGTTTGCTTGTTCTCAATTAAATGACCCTGTTGGGTTTACGTATGAATGACTTTTAAATCCCTTTCGTATATAAACACAACGGAAATTCAGAATTGCACAGGTTCTTCAGAATCTAACACGATGCACAAGGTGAGTGTGGAAAAACACGCATTGGTATATTGTTAAAAATTCTTACAGTTATAGAGGTGTTACGTTTTATTTTTTCAGCAAATTTTCATTTCGTTCGTCTTACTTGCCGCAGTTTTCGCCGAAGAAACCAAAACCGAAACCTCCGAAAACAAGGGAGAAACCTTGCAAAATGCCGAAACTTATCCGACCCCCGTTTACGCATCAAATTACGGACACGGTTTCGGAGATTTCGGTTATATGAAGAAAGGTTACGGAGAATTCGGTTACGCAGGTTATGGCGATTTAGGAAGATACAGAGATCGCGGTTACGGAGCTTACGGAGGTCATCTTTTTGGTGGTTATAGAGATTACGATCGTTACGGAGGTCACGGAGGTGCTCTCGATCGATACAGGGACGTCGACGCTTACGCTCGTAACAAGGGAGTCGGTTACGAACGAGCTTACGCTTACGATAAAAAAGCCGGATATAGAAATCACGCAGGAGATAAGGCTGCTTATGCCGATCATTACGGTCGTCACGGACGATTGGGAGAATTAGGTGCCAGCAGTTACGGTGCTGCGGGTTTTGATCGCCATTTAGCAAGAGATAAATTTGGAGATTACGGTTACGGAGGCTACGGTCGTGCTGTCGGTGATTACGGACGTTACGGACACGGAGGACACACTGCTATGTATTTTAATGCACCCGGTAACATAGATAATAAAACTGTAGTGTCATTATCTGCCTGTTCTCTTCTATTAGTGAAAGAAAGTTTAAACATTATTTATTCATCATATCTATGTAGCCTACATATATTATGCATAAACTTTCTATAAAGCTTTTTACAATGCTCTTATGTAAAATATATAATATAGTAAATGTAATCTTTTTCCCTTCGATTCAAAAGATATTTGTAAATGTTTCCCTTTAGAGGAGAAGATAATTAAAAATCTATTCACTCTTATACCAAGAAAAGTTTTGTTTCTTGCAGTGTTATAGTTTATACATTTATAACGAGACTACATATTGAAATTTTTATTCAATGTAATTAATTTTTGAATGGTTTTATTAAAATATTAATTAACTAGTCGTTATTAGCGGTTTTATTTTATTAGGTATAAATTATTTAGTGTAAAGAGATCAAATCTATATATTAATATAGGATATTACTGTAGCTGTCTGTGCCCTGAGTTGCTCAAGAGGGAGTGGGCTTTAAAGTGATTTTGTTTCTAATTTTTAATAGAAAAACAAAACAAAAAAAAACTGAACATTAATTAATAGATTATATTCATGATATAACCTATTAATTAAACCAAATTTATGAAAAATCACACGCTAAATTGCTGCAACATAAACAAAGTTTTAGGACAAAATACTTGCTTAATTATTTCCTATTTATTATTTTTAAAAAAAGTATTTAAAGCAGTTCCTAATTTTAAAATTATTATTAAAAAAGTAACCAGAAAAAACATTTAAAAAATTAAAATAATAAATAGGAAATAATTAGGCATGTTATTGTTTTACGAGTTTATATTTTGCGTTATAAGAATAAATCCTATAGTTTTAAAACCTAATGAACTTAAAGACCACTGTGAAGATTAGGCTACTTTATATATATATAAAATTCACTTCGTTATATTTCTAGATGTCAAATTATATAAATTAGCTCTTAGTTTCCTTAGAAAGAGTCACGCGCAAATCCCCTTCGGTGCAATACTAATCTGTGCCACGTAACAATGGACGTAATATCAATTGAAGAGGGTGTAACATTGATCTTTGACCCTTAACACGTTTAAACGTGCAGCACCTACACCTAATCTACGTTATGGTTCGAAAGAAGGCCGTGTCAATCATAAAAGAAGACAAAACTATCTTTGGATTAATGAAAATTTTACCTGGCACCAATTTTTCATCGTACGAGAACCCAATGGAGTCGTTACTACAATAATATCATTTTCTCTGACAAATCATTTATTATCTTTGCAAGATTAAATAATTACCTATTTGTTATAAATTATTCTTTTCTGTAGATTTATATCTATAATTTTGTGGGTGGATATTATCCTGTACAATTTTTCAACACCATTATTTTTAATANAAAAAAAGTGTGCATTATAATCGAGAATATGCGACTATTGTATTAATCTTTAAAATATTGGTATTAAATCTGTGTTACAAAATCACGACGACTTCCGTAAATCGAGTTATCCGATAAGAATAAAATACAATACCAATATAGTCCTATCGTTGAAAAAATTCGCGTATTTTTGTTCACCTCGAGTTTTGCTTAGTAGAAATGGCTAAAAAGTGCGCAAAATACGTACGGAAATACGTATTACTGCACCACCTGTATTGGACGACCACCTGTCTAAAAGACCACTTTTTGAAGGAACCGTAGGTGGTCTCCATAGACAGGTTTTACTGTATTTATAAATTTAGAATATTTAAAAGCATTTGTGAATAAGTTCTATTAAACGACAGTCTCCAAGTGTCCCCATGAATCTGCTCCTGTATTGAAAATATTCCATAGACTGAGAAAGATTCAACCGTTCTTATGGGACACTCGAACAAACAGCCTGACAGACGTAAATTCGATTTAATATATGTAGATAGAAATTCGGGATAAAGGATTGAGAGATGATGTTTACTACAGTAGTTTACTACAAAACACTCTTTAACATATATTTAAAATACATTAAAGAAAAAAAAAACACATAAAAATGAATAGTTTATACCATTCGTTTAAACCAACTTTCTTTATTAATCTTTATTAAATCCGACTACATTTGAGATATGACTCATGGCTCCCCTCAATCTTTCCATCTCCTTGATTTTTAACCACCAAAATTTGTATAACAATAATTCTCATAATACACAAAACCCCTGCAAAATTTCAGAAGTTTTTGATAAAAACCACAGGGGATATTAAGCTTTAAAGTGGGTAAACAAAAACGTATTCCCCATACACAGAAGCATCCATACATACAGAAAAATCCCGAAATTTTTTGCATTTCTCGAAGGCTTCCTGAAGTACAAAAATGTAAAAATGTTGGAGAGGTGGAGTCATTTTTCGACCGATCGCCATACTTTCCTTCTGTTATGTATAGGAGCCGAGAAAGTAAAATAAAGAATGTAAAATATTTTTATGTTGATAGTAAAAATTTATAAGAGGATTTAAATAAAAATATTGTAAATTTCAATTTCAATTCCAAAAACTGTCGTTAGATAAAGCTAGGAAGAGCAGCCTGAATAGAAATTAGAAATATTAGTCTACTCTAGCTGTTTACTTTTTACTATTTACTCTTTACTAGCTATTACCATCGACTTCGCCCGCGAGGATTTTGCAAGCGAACACCATTTATATTCAGTAATTCAACAACCATAGTAATTGTTATATAACACCTACCGCATGCAATAACAATATTAAATTTAAAACGGTTCGAACATTTGCTTAAAAAATAGGAATATATAAAAATATTTATAACAATGTCTGAAATGTTATCAATTTAATAAACTTAAGTATGTACTTAATGAAGAGTAAAACAAAAAATCGCATCTAAAATAGTACAGTAGAAGCCGTTTTTCCGGTTAAGCCTTAATCCTCTCCTTCTCCTTCCGCGTGGAAATTTCGAAAAAACCCTTCTTAGTGTGCGTTTCCATGACGTACCCTAATTGTGTACCAAATTTCACCTCGTTAAGTTTAGCGTTTGACCTGGGCGATGATGAATCAGTGACTCAGTAGTCAGTGACTAAGTCATTTAGTCAGTCAGCCAGTCAGGACAACTAATTTTATATACAGTAAACTCCGTATTATCCGTGCATGAATTTAATTTTTAAAAAATAATTATATGTGTATGTATTTTTCAAATAGTTGCTCTCTTTCATGTTCACACAGCCTATAAGTGTGCACGTGTTCATATTTAGATGTTTGAAGCGGGTAGTGGGGGTATCTGAAGTCAGCTGGACTGGTTTTAGTTAGGCCGCTTCTTTTGCGCCGGGCGTTTCTTTTCGGAGGAGAAAACGATAGTGAGTACATTTATACAAAGTTTCGTTTAGTTGCATGTTATAATACGTATTACAATTTAAGGTTTGATTATATGTACTGTACGTATGTATAATGCATATTTTACATAATATTTTTTATCAAATAATTCTCCCACAAATACTTTTAGTGTAAAATTACGTAAAATAAGATGCTTTTTAATTTTCAGAGAAGTACTTTTAAAATGCCTAATAATCGAAAGAAAGTCGTACTTACTATAAAACAAAAACTAACGTTAATTGAAAAATTTGAAAAAGGTGAATCTACATGTTGTATTTTAGATATAAATAATTATAGTTCAGATTATCCGTGTTTCTGGATTATCCGTGCCACCTCTCTCCACCATTAGCCCGGATAATCGGGAGTTTACTGTATTTAGATGAGTTGTAAGATAGAGCATTCTGTAAATNTAAATTTTTTAAAATAAATTTTTATCTTTAAATGGAAGTGACATACTAATATAATTCATATTTTTGAATATCTTTGTCAAGTATTTTATAAAAGTTAATAAAAAGCATTAACTAAGCTAAGAATTCCTTGCAAGATAAACTGATTGACTTGTCAGCGAGAGGTGTCGACATCAACATTGCCAATTTAACGAAAAATCTCCTAAATCTGGCCCGAGATGTAAGCCGTGTCTTTTTCTTTCTGACAGTGTACACATAAACGACACTTCTTCATTTCCATAATGAAGTTTTGAAATGACGTCAATTTGACGTACATTTTCTTGATTAAACGAACAATTTTTTCATATTCCAGTAATTTGCTGGAGTCATCTTAAGATTCAGTTTTACAAGGAACAAGAGCGAAAAAATAGCTTCAATTTTAAGTAGAAGTACTCTGGAAGCGAATACATTTAAAAAAAATCTAGCAACGACTGTTCAGCAACTTTCCTGGCAGTCATGAATTTTTATTTAAAGGAACTTTTATATTTTTAAGCAAAGATAAAATTGTATGTAGCGCTACCTGTTATCAAATTGATATAAAATATTTTTATAATTAATATTAACGTTGTTTGTGTATTAAAATAATACAAACTTGTGTTAAACATTTGTATTTTTATATTTTTGATTATAAATCGAGTCCAGAAGAAATCATTTTGGTAAATTTCACAAATCACGTTCGTCACACTTGATTTTTATTATATTGTTAAGATGACAGGATAATGAATGATATAAGGTTTCCGTAACAAATTACATTGTAGATCGTATCAAACGACTCTTTAATTTAAACCGTAAATTATAATACAGTAACCATGTGTTGACGTGTTGAGAACAATTGAATTTCAAGAAATTAACGAGGGTAAATTAACGGGTTGATTTATACAATTCATTTTCTTTAATTTGAAAGATATAATGATAAAAACCAGTTACATTCTGTGTTCTATTGTAACATTTATGCCAAACTTTAACGATGATGTAGAACTTTGCGTAATCTTTACAACTTTATTAGTAATTTTTATCACGTTTTTCACCGTAAAAACAATTGTTATGTGTAACCTAATAAAAAAATATGTTGAATTAAATTATATAATTTTCGTTTATTAACGGGTAACGCTAAATTATTACATATTTAACTTTTAAAATTTTACAATAATTTTTATTTCCTAGTGTTCGATTCGTAGTGATTTTATGGAGATTTTAATTTATATATAAGCTACGGTCGGTCTTGTTAGCTGCTTCAGATTGCTCTAGACCAGTGATTTCCGAACTGGAGATTAACTTCCCCCAATAACATCACTTCGGATTATAAAAGGAAATTATAAAATATTAGAATGTTATAATATATATTTAA